ACCAATCAAAAGCTTTTGTTTGATTTATTCCGAATAGAAACTCTAACTGCTGTGGACTATTAATTCATAGAACTGATTACGGTCCATCAGGTTTTCTCGTTTCTTTGCAATTGGACCAAGTTTATTGAGAACAGCCAGACGCAAGTCATTATTCATATCAGCACCAGGATTGTTATATAACGCCTCGAATGGATTGGGCTCCTCCAATACGTTGCCAACTTCATGTGATTCATCATCTCCAAAAGATGATCCCTCGTCTTCCCGGCATAAATTTTTATTTTCCAAATCTTAATGTCTTTGTTCATACTTGTCGAACCAATTTTGTTTCCAAATATCAGTTGAATCGTCACCAATTTGCATTTTTTCCAATTCTTTGTTTGTTTTTTTTATTCTTTCTCGCTCTGATGGCCATACTGTTGGAATAGATACAATGACGGCAGAACTTTTTGACATTGGAGCTCTTAAAAGATACCAGGCAGCTTCTTGACTTGGCATTTCAACACTATTAAGCATTTTTATACCAAGGTTTCGTGTAATTTCGACTATGTCAAATTCTGGATGTTCATCTATTGTTTTTATAATTTATCTTTGGAGGTTACTGATACCTCGGTTGCTTTTATTGACATATTCAGATACATAATTAGCGCAAGAGTATATGTCCGTAATAAATTGTATATCCATATTTGATTTCATAATATTTAAAATAAACGGATTAAATGGGTTATGCCATTTTTCAGATGGTTGGCGCCTCAAAAAAACTCTAGGCCTTTTAATACCTGCTCGAAGTATGTGATGATAGTGATCGTCGGATAAAACATTAATTTGAAAGTAGAATGTGTCTATATCAGGGTAATCCGTGTTTTCAAGATTACTTTTGATGTTTTTGTAATGTTTAAAATAACCAGAAAATCCGTTTTCTTCTTTTTGCATGGGAGATAATATAATTGTTGATCGACTTGGCATGAATGGAGCTTCGAATCGACATTCTTTCCTGTTACCAATAATGTTTTTGTAACATGTGAACGTATGATGATGTTTTTGTAGATTTATATGACCCGATGCATAACTAGCTGATACAGAAATAACTCGATTAATTAATTCGATGAGACTTGAAGACTCTGTACCAATGACATAATCAGGAGCCTCTGCTAACCATAGTAAAGTATGTGCATGAGGACTGCCTCTGTGTTGGAATTCGATCCTTTTAAAATAATGAATAACATAATGTCGACCAAAAGGGCTAAATTTTGGTGATGACAAGATATTCATCAATGTATCAACTAGTTTGTTAAAATAAAGAGCACTAGTAACCGGATCTTCGTTAATGAGCATTGCTTTTTCATTATAATGTAAATTCTTCCGAAATTGAGACACCATTATTCTTCAATTTATATATTGTATGAAGTAAATTAGTCTATCCAATTTCATTGGCGCTGACAGTAAGAAATATTGTTGATTTGCCCAACTGTCGAATCATTGCAAACAAGTCCTTTTTGCGGTGAGCCCAGTACCAAGCTGAGTTGGGGATCGATCGTAAAAAAGCAAGATTTGTATCAATACAATTATTGATATATTCGTCCTCTTCTATTTGTTTTTTTGTAATATTGGTATCTTTGCCAACGTGTTTGAAAGCAATCGTAAGGCTATCACGAATCCTTAACCTCATAATTTTCATCGCCATATACAACAAATGCTGTGGTTTAACGCCTCGTCGATCAGAACGTCGTAACTCACTTGAAGCCATTGTAAAAAGCTTTACCTGGACTCATTCTCTAAAATTCCGAAATTCACCAAGATAAATTGCTGGAAAAGAAAGCTCCTCAGCATGTTCATCAAATATCAAACTTTGAGGAAGCTGAGCTTGTCCTGGTGCCAAACAGAGATACTCATCTTCATTCCACATCAATGTCTGCTGTTGTGCAATAAGACTCTCTTCAATTGGAATGTGTTCACTAATATCATCGAGATTAATGTCACTATCACTCTGTTGTTGACCATCGAAAAAAGAACGATTAACTGTAATATTATAAGTTCTATAAAGTGGAGATGGAATCAAATAATCCAACCAAACCTTGATGGTTCTTTTTTTGACCAAGCCATGTAAATAACTAGACTTGTGTGTTGTTCGACGTTTGATATATACGTTTATAGAATGGTCGTCATCAATATCTCTTGGTAGATGATGGGCCATCGTGTCTACAGAAACAGGTACATTAATGATTTGTCCATAAATTCCATATTGGCCATTACAGTGTCTTAATCTTCGAATTGCCATGAATGGAATACGAGGAGAAATTAGTCTTTCTGAAATCAAGTCCAGTGGTGGCAGATGATTAGGCATGTCTGGATATTTAAAGCCATTATATGTAGCCATAGTTGGTATGTTATTTCGAGACAATGATGACCTGCATGTACCACATAACAATATATTTATTGTTGGGATATTTGGTATAATTGAATTTAAAATCGTTTGATATTTTGAAGAGGGAGATTTTAGATCTCGCTGGAACCACAATCTGTCGCACACTGAACAAGCATGTCCAAGAGTTATCAAAAAATGTAATTTTTACCCGTTGGTGAGTTCGTTTGAGACGACCATAATCAGGGTATGGCCAAGATTCTACGTCATCGTCATCATAATCATTAGTAGATGAAATTCGGTTGAAAAAATTATTCTCCGAAGACAGTTGAGAGTCGTTGTCATCGGTTGTATCTAAATTATTTACGAGATTTGCTGCTAAACAATCAGCAATATTGAAAGTATTAGATTCAGTCTCCAAGTTTAGTTTTTGTCTTTCACGGTAATTTCTTGCACGTTCAGCATTTGTTAACGGTACCGGGGAGGGTGTTAATATCGCATCGGGATTATTTTGAAGTTGCTGCTCTTTTTTTTTAGCACGATAATTTCGTAAACGTTCAGCCTCCGTTACACGTGCATGTGTACTCGTTGATGGTGCGAGAGAACACGGCTGATAAACTTCAGCTTGAACCACGATTAGTTTGCGTTGATTTTCAGCTACTACGTGTTCAGTTAATTTTCTTTTTTTTTTTTTTCATCTGAAGAATTTGGTTCGCCTGAATTTTCAATATTCTCAATGTTTGGAATTCGTTCTGCCATTTCTGTTTTTCATCCGATTATGTGCTATTTATAATAATTATAAAATAACGATAGTAATAATGATAAAAATAATGAATGTTCATTTACATTTATGTAAATACAGCAGACGAATTCAGGGGAGAAACTACGAAAAAAATATTAATTAATTTAAAAAATGAGAAGAAGTATCCGGAATTATTAATTATTGATAGTTTTATTATTTTTTTAATATTTTTATTCCAGAAAATAGATTTTTGAGTGAATTAATCAATTAATAACAATTAATTAAATATACTATATCTACTGATATTGGGCTCTGAGTATAGATGCTATAAGAGTCGATCATTAATTATTCCTATTAATTAGTATGGGCTAAGATAGATGAATCTATTTTTTATTTTGCAACGCTTATATAATATTAACGACCACCACTTACCTCGCAACGCTTGTTTCTCTTTTGGATTAATTAATAATAACCGAACTGCGAATTAACCAACACGGCGGCCGGCGGGTAAAAGGCACTGACGTCGTCGACCCGCGGACGTGTGTGCATGTGTGTGTGTACTACGATATGACGTAACCGAACGACCGAACGGATTGGCGAACAACGACGACGGCGAATTGGCACACCTAGTTCGAACTCGAGATTATTATTTTTTCGGTAATATTAATTATATTGTAAATTATAATCATTAGGTAAAATAAAAATACCTACTATTTTTACTAAATCCAGTCGTACGTAACTACTTATTACTTAATAAATAATAACAATATTATTATATTAATATATTAATAACAATGGCTAAAAGCACACTGACTGGATACGTGTACAACTTAGCCACCACGGGAACCCTAGCCGCCGCCGCCACCGCCACTTCAACCCACCCAATAATCGAAAAACCGGCTCGCCGCACGACCTGGACCTTTAATCGCAAGTCGCAACTGCGCGTGTATGGTATTATTATTATCATCGTCGTCGTCGTCGTCGAAACCGCATCAGCTGTCACCGTCCAACATTATAATTTATAATACGTAATATTATCATTATTATGTGATATTATGTATATGACGTACTGATACGCTTCGCACCGCCGCCCCGACGACCGTATGAAATCATCTCGGACGATCATTCCGTTTTTATCTAAATATTTATCTCATTAATATTATTGTTGAGTATTCTTTGTTTAATAACCCAACTAAAAATACTGTCTCTTAATGACACAATCCATAGCCGTTTACAAAATACAGCTACGACAATCCGCGGCTGCGCACAACGACATGTACGCGTTTGCGTTCGTATGGCCGCCCGTTCGCTTTTTTTTCCTCACTACCCTGCGTAAAGAAGTTTAACTTCAATAATTGTTTCAACAGAAATAATTGATATTAATATTTTTAAGAAACCTGAAGATAAAAACCTATACAACTTTTTTAAATCTCATCCTATACAACCGTTTGAAAACATTTTATTCAACCCAAATAAAGTATACTACCGTGTACACAACAATGTTGCATTTAAGAGAGAGTGGTTAAGTTACTGTAAAGAAAATAATACATTGTTTTGTTCTTTCTGTTTGGCTTTTGGAAAAGAAGACAACCGCTTCACAGTAGGATGTTCCGCACTTTCAAGTACTAACCCATATACTCGAATTAAAGAACATGAAAAATCCGTTAGTCATGAAAATAGTAGTGAAGCATTTTTACTTTTTATAAACTCCAATAATATCCGATCAAGACTTGATACTGTCAGACGATTTGAAAATGAAAGAAGAAGATCAGTTTTGCAAAGACTTATTGATACAATCAAATTAATTGGAAAACGTGGACTCAGTTACAGGGGCGCAAAAATACAGAAGCTGCTTATACTTTAAATGATTAATCACTAGACCATGGAAATTTCTTAGAAATGATATTATTATTAGCAAAATATGACCCATTGTTAAAAGAACATGTAGACAAGGCAGTTATGCAAAGTCAGAAGTTGTATGAATCCAGAAAAGAAGCTGTACATGCTGGACGTCCTGGTAAATTTGTTACCTTTTTATCAAAAACTACTGCAGATTATGTTATAGATGCAATTAGTGTTTTATTAAAGAAAAACCTTTCAGAAATTATTAAGAAATCTGAATTTTTTAGTGTTCAAATTGATTCAACACAGGATATAAACGTTCATGACCAATTAGCTATTGTTGTTAGATTTGTTACAGATGACGTACAAGAACGTTTAATAGCATTAGTGAACTGTAAATGTGGTACTGGTAAAAATCTATATGATCTATTATGTAAAGTATTGGAAGATATGAACTTGGATGTTACAAAATGTGTTGGAAGTTCGACTGATGGTGCGAGTAACATGCGTGGACAGTATAATGGTTTTTCAGCATGGCTAAATAAAGTAAGTCCAGACCAAATCCATGTATGGTGCTATGCTCATGTGCTCAATCTGGTAATAATTGATACATCTAACGTTACTCGTGAAAGTACTTCTTTATTCGGTTTATTAAACTCTATTGCAGTATTCGTTAGAGAATCGTACCTTTGAATGAATAAGTGGGAGGAGAATAGTAAATATAAGTTTATTTCAAATATTGGTGATACACGTTGGTGGTCTAAAGATAGGTGTTTGACAAAAGTTTTTGGATTATATTCATTTCCTAAAGAGGCTTTGTTTGTAGATATTATACAGACTCTTAATGACATTTATTTGAGTGATAAATTTAATCAAGAGATAAGATTTAAAGCTCAAATGTATAGAGATTCACTTCTTAAGTATGAAACTGTATTAACTGCAAATATTTATCTTCAAATATTTTCATCTACAACACCAGTTTCGTTATACCTCCAGAGTAAAGGTATGAATGTTATTCAAGCTTATAATATGATTAAATGTACTTTAAATACTCTTAATTCCCAGTCACGAAAATTTGATACTATACTTGAAGGAACAAATAAATTTATCACATGGGCTAATTCAAAACTAGAAGATTTAGACTTAGAAGTTGCAACTACATTTCCAGTTAAAAGAATTCTGAAATTGAAAAAGATGTCCGGAGAAAATACAAATGACCAACCTCAAACAGATCCAAAATTAAAATATGAAATAAATGTTTACAATGTAATTTATGATAAAATAATTAGCAGTTTGGAAAAACGATTTAATACTCATGGCAAATTATATGAAGATATATCCTACTTAAATCCACAATATTTCATTAATACTAATTTACCCACTATAGCATTTGAATTTTTAAGTAAAAAAATTCAGAAATTCAAACCTGAAATAACAGCTGGCAGTATTCAAACTGAACTTAAAGATTTTATTTTAAAATGGCCAAGACTGAAAAAAATTGCTTCTGGTTCAAATTTAATGGAAGAACTGAGTGATGAAGAAAATGAAATTTTAATTGAAAGTGATAAAAATACTATATGTACAGAAAAAGGCAAAGGAAATGCTTGTCAAAATTGTATTAGGTGTGTATATGCTGTATTACACAAATACAACTTACATTCTTCAGCTTATTATCTTCTTTATATAGTTTATAAATTTGTATTGACACTTTCTTGTACACAAGTTAGGTGCGAAACTACTTTTTCAAAACTTAAATATATTCTTAAGCGCTTAAGAAATTGTCTTTCTCAACCAAAATTAGAGACATTTCTTTTAATGTCTGTTGAAAAAGACTTACTTCAAACTATTAATAATGAAGATGTTATTGACTTAATATCTAATAAAAGCCAGGATTTGATGAAGTTGTTGAAATTGTAATAAAAAGTAAATTATAAAGTTTATATATATATATATTATGTATATTATATGTGTTCATTTTTACTATTATGTTATTTAATTCTAGTATACTTATTATTTTTTTGGACCATAGGTGATTTCGGGGGGGGGGGGGGGGGGGCGATAGAAATATAAAATCTCGGTGGGCCGAAAACTCTCAATCCGGCGCTGCTTGTAGTAGAAAGGTAACTGATAAGTATATTTTGATTAGGTATTAGGAATGTATGATAAATCTGTATAATACTTTTAACTATTTGTATTTTTTTTAATCAAAAATTACAATGGTGTAAAAATCAAGAATATTCATCAATTCCATGCTGATTTTAAATGAGTTAAATTTGTTAATAGTTTAGAATGTTTTTATTATTGGTTTCCAGGAAAAAGTTTGTATGTCAGCATAGCTCTTTTCGTAAAGTTTCTAGAGAAGAAAATAAAAAAGGAAATTCAAAAAATGCTAACTGTTTAGCTTCTGTAACATGTGTGGTAAAATTAGATACTCATTCAAGACGAAATGTAGATCCTTATATTAAAGTAATTTGTACATTTCTCTTATTGCTTATTTAAATACATTATTAAGATACTTACCTACATAGGTATTATTTAATTAAATATATTTGGTAAAATTATTTTTCAGGATGGGTTATATGGCGTTATAACAATTAAAAATAAACATAACCATAGTATTGACACTGCTAAAACTTTACGCATTTTACCAGCAGATAAAATACTTAAAAATACTTTTTTTAAGTATTTTAACGACAATATGGGTATAACTGATGCAATTAATTGTCATGAACGCATTTTAGAATGAAAAGAAAAATTTTCACTGGAAATATTAGGTAATGGATCCATTAATCCAACTTATAGAATTGTTCAAAATTGGCACAATGAATGGAGGTTGGAAAATTTAGGTCCACGGACTGGAAGAGGTTTGATTGAGGTAATTTTTTTATAATTTTACATATATTTCATTAATATTTAACAGTTTAAAGAAGTAGTTGAAGATTTCATAGACAATTTATTATTAGTTATAACTTATAACTTATAGGTAACGATTTTAGATTTATCCATGCTCTATCTTCAGAGTATATCTGAGTGTTGTGAATATATAAAATATTTTACTTTGATTCTGTATCAAAAAATTTGGTTTTACAGTATCTTATTAAATTAAATATAAAATTTAATCTTTATTTTAAGTAATTTAATTTTTTTTTTTTAAATTTATACAGTTTCTACTTAATTAAACATCTAAAGATATAATAAGTTGTGATGTTAGTATCTATTTTTTTCTAGAAACTAATGCAAAAAATTGATTTTACAAAGCGAGAAATGTAATAATTAAATTTAAGGAAGATCTATTTGCATTAGTTATTGTTACCCCACTTATGCAACGAGCTCATTCATTAAAGTCATCTAGTAACATTATATTTGTAAACAGTACATATGCCTGTGATGCAGACAATTATTCTATTATATTTATGATTACTCCGTGTACAGCAGGTGCAGTTCCATTAGTAATAATTATTACAAAAAGTATATAAAAAATAATTTTATCTATCTAAAAATTATTTCATTTAACATAGATCCTTATTTAATATATTAATAGGTCAGACATATTCGGCATATAACACTGGATTTCAGTTACTAAAAGAATGTGGCATACATTTTTGGTGGTGTTGGTTGGCCAAAAATATTTATAACTGATAATGCTGCCGCTGAAATAAACGCAATAAAAAACAACTGGCCAAATAGTATCAATTTACTATGCATTTTCTATGTTTGGCGTTGGATCTGGGACTCAAAGAATAGCATACCGAAAGATAAGCAACCAATGCTTATAAATAGTTTTCAATCTATTTTATATGCTGATTTTTTAATGAAAGTATTAAAAAATAAATTTCCAAAATGGACAAGATATCTAAATGAACATTGGCATACAAGCAGAGATGTGAGACTGTAAAGTTTCTGAAATTTTCAAGTGAAACTTTTCATGAAATTTGAAAAGTTTCAAGGCTATTGAATTGAAAAGTATTGAAACTTTTCAATATCAAAAATTTAATTTCATAATCGTTCGCATACAGAATAAACCAATAGATAGGTAATAGAACAATAGTTTTAATATCTATGATTGTAATTGTAGTAGATATTATGGTACCACTGGTATCTGCTGTTAATTGTTATTTGGTAGTTCTACAACTATGATAGTACGATAAATCTATTATCTAGTATTTAGTTATAAATAATAATAATTTTTTATAGTTTGTTTACTGACTTGTAATATTTAAATATTTAATTTTTTTTTTTATGATTTACTGCCTTTGTTATTCTGTAATCATCACGAATTCGAGACAAACCGATATTTTTAAATATTTTAATGAAAAAAACAGTAAATATCAGTTTACATTTTGCAATTGGTCTACCTCAAAAAATGCAACAAGAATGTCGGATCACATTATTAAAAAATGTTGGAAGTGTCCAAAAGAAATTCGACAAGTTTATTTTGACACTAAAAACAAACAAAAAAGTAAGTGCTATTTACAATAAAATTGATTTTACTTTAAAGATTTAAGTGATGTAAAAAACTTGTTAAATACCTACTCTAATAGGTACCTACCTACCTATAATATGGCAACTTATAAATGTAATAAATTAATTTAAATATTAAATTAATGGTATCTACTACCTACATAATATGGCACTTAAAAAAATTTAAATGTTTCAGTATTTTTATGCATTTAAATTAATAAATCCTGAAAAAAGGAGGAATATAAATATTTCTGATTTTTTTTTTTCACTAGGCAAAATAACAATATTTGTACAATTCTACACAATCCAGATGAAGAGATTGATGATCCAAGTAATGGTTTTGAATGTTTTGATGCATCCTAACATTCCCAACTATTCAAAGTCCAAGACAATTCTAAGTGTACTGACACGGACAACTTGGTATCATTACAGTCACAACCACAACATATTTCTGCATCACAAACATTGTCTGATTTAAAAAATAATTGTTCAGCTAATAAAACATTTAAACGTAATTCATCTTTGCTTAATTTTATTGATATTGTTACCAAAGAAGATCAAGAAAAATTTGAGCTGTCATTCGCTATGATTGTCTTTGGAAATTGTCTTCCATTAAATATCACTGAGAATCGCAGTATAATAGACCATTACAAAAGTATTCAGCCAGGGTTTCTTTTGCCAAGTCGTCATAAATTATCCAACAAATTACTTAATACACACTATGATAAACTGCTTCTTAACTTAAAAGAAGAAATTAATAAGTCATATAATTTGGGACTGACTTGTGATGGGTGGACAAATGTTAAAAGTGATAGTATAATAAACTTTATAATTACAACACCCGAACCAATATTTTTAAAATCTATTGATACAAAATCAAATAAACATTAAGGAGTTTATATGAAGGATATTATAATAAATGTGTTAAAAGAATTTGGTGAAATGAAGTTTACATCAGTACTAACGGATAATGCTAGTAATATGAAAGCAGCATGGAATCTAATTCAAAGTTATTATCCACATATCATTTGTTATGGTTGTGTAGCTCATGGACTTAATTTGTTAGTTCAGGATATTACTACTGAATTAGAGTCACTAAAAGAAGTTGTAGAATTGAAACATGTAATTAAAGAAATAAAAAACAAACATATTCTGTTATCAGTTTTAAAAGAAAAACAAAGTTTATTGTCTGGGAATCTGCCTAGCTTAAAATTGCCTGGAGCTATACGTTG